CTGTTTGAACAATGCTGATTGGCTCTGTGCTGATCACATGCACTCTCCCAAGAAAAAAAAAACCTCTCTAGCCATACACATCAAACTGAGCATGTGCATGTGACTATAGATTCAATCTGTATCAGGTGGTCATTTCAACAAGAGGAGCAGCAGAGAAGAAAGGATCAAACAGCCTTTTTACACAATGCAGAGGATTAACCCCTTAGGATCCACAGTGAGTATTACAAGCATGCTTTACTGCATATACAGACTGATTTTACTGTTGTGGGTTTAGTAACGCTTTAACTATATATAAAGTGCAGTCAAATATTTATAAAACAGTGTTAAAAAAATGAAACCATTAACATGTGTTACAAATATCCTCTAATAAACCAAACATGTGTAATTTCAATCTGCAAATATGTGTAGATATTCATCCAATCCCAAAGTATAATTGTTAATATATACAGTAACATATATGAAAATCCCAAAGAAAATGCTTCAGTGAAAGTAATCCTGTGTCTGTGTGTTTATTTTATCTTTTATTTTATTACTTACCTTTGCAACCCATCACCAGCCACACCACCTACTGACCTCCAGATATTGACCTATAAGTAAAATAGGTCAAACAGCCCTTTAATTAGGGCTTTTAATCTCTACAGCTTTCTCCAGATGTATAGACAGCTCTCTTCATTCTGGATAGAACTTCAGATTCCTCTTACACCAACCAGCTCTACCTTGGTTAGCTTTACTCAAAAATATTAGACAATCATCATGTAGTATATTAACTATTTCAATACCATGCAATTTTACACCTTCCTGCCCAGGCCATTTTTCAGGTTTCAGCGCTCTCACACTTTGAATGACAATTGCGCGGTCATACAACACTGTACCCAAACTAAAATTTTATCATTTTCTTCACACAACTAGAGCTTTCTTTTGGTGGTATTTAATCACCGCTGGGGTTTTTATTTTTTTGCTAAATTAACAAAAAAAGACCAAAAATTTTGAAAAAAAAACACATTTTTCTTTGTTTCTGTTATAAAAGTTTACAAATAAATAATTGTTCTTCATAAATTTAGGCCGAGATGTATTCTGCTACATGTCTTTGGTGAAAATAACCCAAATTAGGATGTATTATTTAGTTTGTAGGAAAGTTATAGCGTTCACAAACTATGGTATAGATCTGAATATTGATCAATTCTGAAGTACTGACGGCCAATCTAATTTCTTGAGGTCCAAGAATGTCAGAATAGTACAGATATCCCCAAATGACCCCTTTTTGCAGAGTAGACAGTCCGACGTACTTCATAAGAGGCATGGCGAGTTTTTTGAAGTTGTATTTTTTTTTTGTCATAATTTTTCGGAAAATGAAAAAATTAAAAAAATTATTTTCACTATTTTTTTTTTTACATACTGTCACCAGTGCAGTACAGCGTCATCATATAACTGGCATGGCGGTGAACAGGGACACTGACTGGTGACAGTATGAAAAAAAAAAAAATAATAATTTTTTTTTATTTTTTTATTATTTTTAATTTTTTATTACATTTTTTTTAAATTTTTTTTAAGATTTTTTTTCATATTTTACTATGACCAAAGTAGTACAATGTTACCATAGTAACATTGTACTACTTTGGGGAAGTGATCAGTATTTTTTTTTTTACACAATTTGCTTATAGCAAAGAATTACTTTGCTATAAGCAAGCATTTACCTGAATGAAATCAATTCATTCAGCTTTTTTTTTTTTTTTTTTGTGCTTAGCTGTGATTTGGTCACAGCTAATCACATGACATGTGCATGTGATTAGCTGTGACCATTCACGGCTAGGCACTAGTATACAATGGATGGCATGAATGAAGCCATCCATTGTATACAACTGTCATGTGACCTGCTGTGATTGGTCACAGCAGGTCACGTGGTACCAGCAAAGGGAGCCGGTACTCGGATCTGTCATCGGCCGTGTCCGAGGTACACGGCCGGTGACAGATCGCGCTGCTGTGCCGCTCTGCATTAGCGCAAACTGCGCATGTGCGGGAGCACGCCAAATGGTGTGCACCCGGAATGCAGCAACACATTTGAAGCCGCCAAACGGCCATTGGCCGGGCGGCAAATGGTTAAACCATCACAAACTTTGTTGGTCCCAAAAATAATAAAACATATAAAAATACACTCACAAGTAAACTGCACAATATTCTTGTGCACTGGGAGTAATATAAATGATGTAGCGCTTATACAGAAATAGCAGTAATAATTAGTGACATAAAGTGCAAAAAAAAACGCATACACGGTCCTAATGGTGGACCAGTATTGTGATAAATATAAATTAGTGACCCCAATCCACATGGGGATATTTGGAAATGTGACCCCTTTTGGCTTATTTTTATGCGTCAATAAAGCAGTGTTACACTATGGAGAATGTATTCTTCTCTCGTTTTATGGGCATGTGAGCTTTGATCTATATGAGTACCTATTTACCAACTAACCAGTCCAGAGGGGTATATCCCAGTGGTGAAAGTTGACTCCAGGAAATTCACTCAAGTTACCAGTCTATAAGGAGCGTTTTATACTGAGGGGATCCAGAGGGGATCCATACATGCTTTGTGGCCCTGCAGGGTCGCGAAGTGGAGGTGAGAGGCCATTACAGCTATTTTGGGATCAAATTGATGGTGTGCTGTGTACCCACATCCTAACATCTTGCATGATCAGAAGGAATGCAGCAATGATTATTGGACTTATTGCACAGATTTTCATTATGCTATGTTTATCATCTGTTTGTACACTGTGTGTATGCATTTGATCCCTCTGTAGGGATTCACCCATTTTTGGATTGTGTCCCATATTGGGTACCAGGGGTCACATTTCCAAGTATCCCCATGTGGATTGGGGTCACTAATTTCTATTTATCACAATATTGATCCACCATTAGGACCGTGTATGCGGTTTTTTTTGTACTTTATGCCACTAATTATTACTGCTATTTCTGTATAAGCACTACATCATTTATATTTTATTCTATTTATCATTGCACCTATTGGTATAGGATTAGATGTAAGCAGCTTTTTAGTTATTTTTTAGGTTTGCACATAAGAGCAGGAGGACCTTTTGTTTTTATCACTGGGAGTAATATACCGCTTTAATACATCATTACCCCCTTAAGAGATAGCTTCAGCATCACATCCACAATAGCAAACCTTGTATTTCCGGTTTCCTGGTATAGCGTGATGACTTAACATAGCTCAACCCCCCAGCTTTGGCATTATTTGCACATCCACAGATAATTTGAAATATCACAGATGGTATCATATATCACAACATATCACAGACACTTCTTGCGACTAAATAAATATCTCTACATAGAAATTTTTTTTCTCTCTTCTGCTACATTAAAACACATTCAGGAAAAAAAATTATAGTGAACACTATTAGAATGAAATTAAGATAGAGTTAAGCTTGGTTTTCATGTGCATTCCACAAATTAACAAAATGGCAACATTCTGTGATCATCAAAGTTTGGATTGATCCTGCACTTGCTTACATGACTCCTCCGGTTGATTTACTAAAAGCAAATAGGCTGTTCAGTTTTCAAGGGAAGTTGCATTTTGCAAGGGAATTTCTCCAGAGTTTAGGGAATTTGGTAAAAGTTCACTTTGCAAAGAACACCCAACCATGTGCAAGGAAAACATAATTACACATGATGGAAGTCAGCTGAGCTTCACCTCATTCTCTAAGCTCTATAGAAAATTCCCTTTGAAATTAATTAGTCTATTTGCCTTTAGCAAATCAACCTCTATGAATTGGTGGTGGTGGTGGTGGTGGTGGTGGGGGGGGTTGGGTAAATCTTATTCTTTGAAGAGTATAGCATTTTATTTATATATACAGTATTTTATATTTATCAAGGCATGGGCTTGTTTTTAAAAATTATCATCATGCTATCTGTGTCTCTCTATTATTATTCTTGCTGTTTCAAGAAGTGATCAGTTCTACATGCTTTTTAAGAACCCCTCTCCCCCTTTCCTTGACTTTCTCCCCCCTCTGGTCCCCACGTTTATTTGTCTTTTCCCTGAGAACAGGTGCAGTTTTTAATATGGAGAGCAATGGGAGATCAGTGAACTCCCATTCACCAACCTCATCCATGTTGATTGAAACATGACAGACAACAGTTCCTTTTAGCTTCCATTCTTTGCATAGCAATACTTTTTTTTTTTTTTGCTGCAAGGGTTACCCTAAAAAAACAGGGGCTTTTTGTGTTAAGAGGTTAATATTTTTGGACATTCATTACATTTCTGTTTTTTATGTTGATATGGTCATTCATGCATAGCTGATCATCTGCTTCTTTAAGTACTCTTTGTTTACAGCCCACACTGCATTGTTTTTTTTTTCCAAAAACAATTTTATTGAGAAATAAGGCACAGAGGTAACATATACAGGTTGCATTCGGATCAAGTATACAACTCAGTGCCCGTATCCCTGTTACATCTGAAACACATATAGTGTCATCAATTAACATTGCTTGAATTAAGAAACATACACAAGAAAAAAAAACAGAAGAGAACATGTTCCAAGCAAAAATTGACATAGCATAAAATGAACAGAACAATTGAGTACAGAAATCAGCCAGTCCTCATAAGATCCCCTTTACACAAAGAATGTGATGCAATACAAAGTGAGAGGATAGTGAGAACAGTGGATATTAGGGTGTCCACCCCTAGGGGCGGAGGCTGAGGAGCTGCAGTTGTACCTGTGGGTCTGCTGGTATTCTAAGTTCAGCTAAACTCAGAGAAATGGGAAGGTAATGTGGAGAATGTAGGATAGAGCGAAGGAGGAGAAAGAGAGGGATAGAAAGACAGAGACAAGAAAAAAGAGAGAGGAGAGAGATAGAGGGGAAGAAGAGAGAGAGAGAGAAAACAAAAGGGGGGAGGTAGGGGGAAAAGGGGGGGAGCAGCTGCAACTGCTCAGGGTCAAACAGTGCAAGATAATCTGAGTAACAGTCAGAGGTCCCGTACGGCAATCTAGGTAGGCATGTGTATTCGTCCAGTACAGGGGTGGACTGACAACTCATGGGGCCTCCGGGCAATAGGGGATCATGGGGCCCCTGTGTCCTTGCCCACAGTCAAACCAGACCCAAAAAAGCCTATGAAAGGTACCAGGGACATCTCATGGGGCCCCCTACTGTCCCCAGGCCCTTGAGCAGTGCCTGAGTTCCCCAGTGGTCAGTCTGCCCCTGGTCCAGTATATAGGTCCGTTTCCGCAATATTTGGGCCATAATATTCGGTCTCAGTTAGGTAAGGTGTACGTTATATGCATGCGCCTGGGCAAAATTACTTATTCCTATTGGTAATCGAATAAAGATCAAGTGGGGAAGGGGTGGAGTCGTGCAGCAGTTGGTGATAAGCAGCTGTGGTTTTGAAATGACTCCAACATACCCACGTCTTCCTGAATCTCTCGGGGCAATCTTTTGCTACAGAGATGAGTTCCTCCATATCAGCAATTTTGTTTATACGTGTAAACCATTCCCGGACAGAGGGGATATGTGTTGAGCACCAGTGGATTGGAATACACTGTTTTGCCGCATTCACCATATGCATAGCAAGTGATTTGCAGTATGTTTTATAGGGGAGCTAGGAGTGGTGAAGTAAGAATTGTGCGGGAGATAGAACTAGGGAGTAAGTTGTTACCTGATCAATTATTGACTGAATTTTTCCCCAGAATAGTTGGAGCATTAGGCAGTCCCATCATATGTGTAGAAAGGGTACCAGTCACTTGACAGCATCTCCAACAAGAGTCAGGGATGCTAGGATCAAATCTGTGGAGTAGAGATGGAACTCTATACCATCTAGAGAAGGGCTTGAAAAAGCCAAATAAAAAATAAAACACACCAGGGTCAGAAATTACTGAATAAAGATAGTGACCAATTATGAATAATGCTGAGTCACATATGTGGTATCCTTGGGACCCTAATCATAAATGGGAAAATAAAGAAAAAAGACCAGAGGGTAAAGGACCCAGAGGCCAAAAAGGGGGTCCAAATGAGGACAAACTGCAGCCTTGAAAACCAAATAATAAACAAAAATAATTTAATTTGCTGTAAAAAAAAGTACAAATATCACAAAGACATATATGGCATGATAAGCCAAAATATACAAAAAATTACACAAAAAATTACCTCACCACCACCCAGGGGGAAAGGAAGTCAAAAGCAGAATGGCAAGATCAACCTGGACAACACTAGACATGCAAAAAGTCCCATAAAGATATGATGAATAATAGACCTGTGATGAATAGTATAGTCTCAAAATTTGAACAAGACAGTGAAGATGACAAGCAGGTGATGATATAGATAGCTCAAGAAGGTATGGTGAGTACCAAGGACAGGATTCATGTATAAATCACATAACCATATAAACTTACACGAGAAGTGCATAATAATCAATCTAGATAAACATGATCCTTGATGCAACCATCAAAAATAATTGATATAATCCCTAGTATCAGGGAAAGAGCTGAAGGTCATTCCTCAGGTATCAGGTAAAGTATGAAAGTATTACAGATCTCTCATCAAAAATATGCGGTTAGCCTTGTGGTGCAAAATTATGTAGAATACATCTCCTCAATATTGCAAGAGTGGTTTGATGATGGAAGGGAAATGGCAATATATGACATAATATGCCCAATTTCCCAAAGGTCATTTAGACAGTCAATGATTATCATGTAGACATGTAGCATACAGATGGCATAATAGCTTGGTGGAGCCCATAATATGCATAATATATAGATGCCTTGGATACTTGAAGCACGAGGGGTTGTCAGGTGAAGACCCAGTTCAGTAAAAGTCCACAAAAATGCAGATATGGTAAAGTGGAAAGCTTGTATCAAACCTGTAACAGCTAATAGTCATCAACCGACCTGTAATCCATGCGGGGATAGTTGCTGAGGTCAGTGGAGTTGAATCCTGTGTGTTAACAGGTGAAGATCCTCCCAATATAGGGAAAGCTATCAGCCACTGTTGGGTCAGATTCCTGTTGCAAAAGCCGGTCGCCCGCTCGCCAAATGCGAGGAGAATTTCTTGTGTGGTGAGTGGCGAGCACAGATGATGGATGGAAACTTCCGGTTTCTGGCTTCTTCTGCACCGCCATTACACTGGCAGCGCCGCTGAGGGGACAGCTGCAGGAGAGGTCCGCTCTCCTCCGCTGAGAGGAGACACCCTCTTCACAGCCGCGGGGGACTCGAGGAGAGTTCCTCTCTCCCCCGCCATGAGGGACAAGAGGAGAGGACCTCTCTCCACCGCCTTGGGAGATCACTTTAGAGAAACCACTGCACTGCCCTCACACAGAGCTCAGTGGCCTTAGTATACTGCAGTATACCTCTGAGCATAGGGCTACAAAATAAACTGTAAGACACTTGTTATTTACTGTTCCAAAACACATTGATTTTCTTTGTATAATTTTCTGTTAAAATATGACTGGACTTTAATAAATGAATAATAAAAATATAAAAGTATTATACAAAAATCAGTTTAAGGAAAAACTGCAATTATAACTGAAAATATGTGCTCACTAACAAAAATCACATCGTGATATTAAAAAGTCTCTTTTTAAAGATGCACGAGATAAACAAAAAAAATACAAAATGTTCACTACAGGTTTAAAGCTGTAAAACTTGATATTTTGATTGCACCCTATTGCTATTAAGCTATTGCTGTTATGTTTAAATTGACATAATAAAGCTATGTTATAATTGCAGTTTTTTTATATTTTGGACTCTTTATTCTAAAGAAAAATGTAATTTCATAAGCTTTAAGGGGGCCTGGTTGGAGGCAGGGCTGGGGGCGGGGTTGGGGGATGGGCCGGGGGTGGGGTTGGTGGCAGATCTGGGCAAGGTTGGGTGGGGCAACTGGTGGAGAGTAAGGTTTGTGCCTGGCTAGTAGGTCTAGAGTCGAAATTTTAAGCCCTGATCTAGAGTATAGTTTGTAATAATTTTTTTGGGTCGAAACACACATGGTCCCTTTGTGTATATGGCCATATATACATGGTCCCAATCAGTGGGGGGGCCAGGTTTAGTTGTAAGTCATTACTACAGGCTACGCAAGCCTTTCTAGATGTAACTTTGTTTGTGTTTTCCAGGCATGTGTATATCTTGGAGACCACATGTGAGGAATCTGTGGAGCAGATTTTCTCGAATGGGGTAAGGGATCTAGCAAGCTCTCTTGGACGTGACGGGCTATGTATGACATGATGGAGTTGCCACTGCATTGTTTAAAAGGAAAAAAAAATGAGGTACACCCAAGCCCACTTGATATAATTAACATTCTCTGTGCTTTCTTATCCCCAATAAGAAAATAAAGTTTAGGCATACACCAATACTATTCGCCAAGCTCAAACATGTGCTGACACTGGACAGTTTCACACAGCTTTCAATTCTACCTGTATTTTGTGCTCAAAAAATCTGCCCTGCCAGCTGTAAATTTTTACACGACTTTTTCATCTGCAGCTTGATTTTTGAAGGAAAACATCTGCCTGTGCTTTGTGCCTTTTGTACATTTCAGTTTTCTCTTCTTCAATAAAACAGTCTTGCTACTTGACAATTTTCCAGTGCTGTATCCTCATTTTCAGTCTCTCTCTTTTTTTTTGTTAACAAACTGTTTATTTGCAAATGCAATATACAGTATAGAATGAGAAAAACAGTCAAAAGACTTCATTCATTTAAAACTTGGTCAGAGTGGTCAGAGTTAGAATGATAGAAGCCAGTCGATCTGCTAGCAAAAGATCTTGAGATTGTTGTTGATAACTGAGATAGGTCTGTAATTCTGTTGTAATATGCAGTCTTTGTTCGGCTTAGATATTAGCGATATGTTAGCAAGTAACATTTCCACAGGGAAGTAATTACCTTGTAAGATATGGTTAAATAGGTTCACCTATTTAGGGTCTAGTAAAGAAGTGTAATACTTTAAGTAACAGGTAGCATATCCATTGGGGCCAGGAGCCATGTACGCTTCAATGATTTCATAACTTGGAGGACTACCTCTTCCATACAAGGTGCCTTGAAGGTATATTGTTGTGAAATAGTGATGGGAGAGAAATACTGGCAAATCAAAAGGTAGCAGTATTAGGAATAGGAAAGGATTTGTAGAACATCTTTAGGTAGTGTGACAATGCTATTACTATAGAGGAGAAACTTAGCTTTAGACCAGCAGAGAGCTTTCTCAAATTTAGTTGGCAGTAAAGCATCTAGTTCTATCCTCCTCTGACAAATCAACTAATTACGTGAGTGTTCCTGGATTACTTGCCTGTAGTTTATATAATCCTTTCAATTCTTTATAAAACATATATAATTTGTGCCATCTTTTCTTAGTATGTTCTGTGGCAATGCTACCAAGGTGACGTCCAAGTACAACATTATGAGCTGTCCAAAATGTGGTGACAGTAATATCTGGAGCAGAATTAAACAATGAAAAAATGAAAACACTTTAATTATTAAGCACTTAAGAGTTTGATTTGGAATCTACTCTCTGGATCCCAATAGACATGTCGTATATCCAAAGAATTGTATGGCTTAAGAAACTTCTTGGAGTGTGGCTGGGTCTGAAAGAAATGAATCATTCAAATGCCAAGAATATGAGGTTTCAGAAAGATTGGTAAATGTGGTGGCTAGAGAAGTGATATACTGGTCTGACCAGGTGCAAGGGTGGATATTGACCTTGGTAGAATGAGCCAAAATAATGGGGTACAGAATAACTATATAGTGTAATCTGGCATTATCAGAGTGCAAGAAAAGGCATAATCTTTAGCTCCAGCATTATGGGCTCAACAGAAATCAATTAATAGAGCCACATGAACAGATTAAGTGAGCAGATTTACTTTTCGGAAACATTTTAAATGATGGTGGGATTTACTCCTATATAATAGGGGAAGAACAACTAAATTAAAGTTGCAACCAACATTCATATGAGGAAAGTGGTGACATTTTAAATTAGCAAAAAAAAAAGAAAAAAGAAAGGAAGGTGGCCTAAGAGTCTTTAGGAGCATAAACATTGGCAACAGTAACCTCTCTACCAGCAATTAAGCACTTAGGAATTTGATTTGGAATCTACTCTCTGGATCCCAATAGACATGATGTATATCCAAAGAATTGTGAAAAAAGAAGGCTATCCACCTGCACTTAGAACACAGAGTATAAAAAACTTGGTTAAATTTATTAGTTTTTTGCCATAAAGTAATAAATTTTAATGTAAACATACATACAGCTGTGAGTGTACCTCAGAAAAATGCTCCCTTAACTTGTCTCGGCCCTCAAAACCTGCTGGTCTGTGGGCGTGGCATAGGGCCAGAGGATAGCAGGCGGAGATGTGATGTCACTCAATCCCTCAGTTATACACACCCTCCAGCCACGGCTCAAGAACGTGCACATCTATTTGATATGTCTATGCCCGCGAGCACGTCTTCTGAGTGCATTCAGGTGCCAGTGACTATTTCAGCTCTTCTTACAGCACATGATCTGTGCTAATCAGGAGAAAGCTGGTAGGAGGAGGCTAATGTTAAAAATCCTAGGAATCCTTCAGCCTAAAGTGGCAATGTGGACCATGAAACATTCTCATGTAAAACTCTGTAAACAGCAATTCACAAGCTAGGTGCTGTGAATAGAGCAGGACAATAATCAGCTGTCAGCAGTCTTACCTAGATAAGTACAGCATTACCGAAGTGATGCCAATCTATGTCATAAATCTCTGGTGATGAGTTCTCGATCTTGTGAAGGCATAGACCAACAGGGAGAGGAAACCCACTCTCCCACCCCTTTGCAGTGTATTACATGGAGGCTCATGCTGGTCTCGTCTTCAGCACAGCCTGTCACTCACAGGAGAAGGGGGCATGGAACACCATTTTTCTGCTTTATTCTGTTCAGAAGAGCAGGGGGAATTTTTGGAGAAGGGGATTGCTTCAAGATAGCAAACTAAGCTCAAATGCTTAGTATAGGTAATATCTATTCTATACAACTAGTTTAAGCATGGCTAGTAGTAAATCGGTGACCGTTTCTGGGACCTCCCGAATCCTAACATTTTTACTCCTCATGTGATTGCCTTAATCCTCTACCTGAGACTGGACCTGATTAAAAGCTGTTGCCAAACTGAGTTCATTATGGTTTGTTTCCAATCTGTCTGTACGGTTCCCCAGTGTTGCAAGCTCCTGAGATAGGGTGTTAGTTTTATGTTTTATGTTTGGACTGGAATTTAGCAGCCAGTTTGTTGTACATGGCTTCCAAGATACTAGTCAAGTACCCTTTAGTGTGATGAGCAGAGTACTCATGGTCCTGAAAAATGGCAGAAGGTGCCAGGTCCTGTGAGCATTGAGGAAGAGGAGAAGGAGGATCTGAAGTGCCACTTTGTGCCATGCTGTAACATTCTTTCGCTCTCAGCAGGTAAGTAGTAAATGACTGCTGACCACTAGATGTCAGGAATGGACTAGCCAGCAATGGTGGGACTCGCCTGCCTTTTGATCTGCAGTACCAGGGCTGGCCACGGGTGCTCCCAGCAATCAGAGACTCAACTTTGCAGCCAGCTAACACCTGGAACTGATTATGCTGGGGTATTTAAGGGATGGCCAGACTTGCAGACTCTGCCTTGGTGTTGTGTTCTCTTGGGCCCTGTATCCTGTTCCTGCTCTCTGTTCCTGTCTGATTCTCTGCTGACCCTGCTCTGATCCCTGGCTTGTCTGACCATCCCTCTGCCTGACCCTCTGTACTACGCTGCTTGCTACCTGTTCTGATCCCTGGCTTGTGACCCTGACCATCCCTCCGCCTTACCCTCTGTACTACGCTGCTTGCTACCTGCTGAACCTGGCCTGTGACCCCGACCAATCTCCGCTTGCTCCCCCCATACCTACCTGCCCTATTGATATTGACCCGGCCTGCCTGACGACGCTTGCTTGTATGTACTGTTATCTGTGGGTGGTTGGTTTGGTTTGGTTTGGTTGCACTGTATTATGTTTTAGTATTGCACTGCGTTTATGTTTGTATTGTTAGTGTTAATAAATTATATTGTTTATAACATATCTGAGGTCTGCGTTTTCCCTGCGTCAGCCACACACCTCTGGTCACACCTGGGAGCCCTGACATTACACCAAGGCCAATCCTGACCAGAAGTGGCTGCACAGGGAAGCCATCTTGGCTTGTTGCTGGGAAGGATGGATCTGGATGAGGTTGTGTATTTATATCTGCTAGTGTTTGATGACAGGGAGTATGCTTATCAAACTCTGAAGGAGTATCCCAGGGATCAACTACTAGAATGTATACGGCTCGCTCATGTTCTAGTAGATCAGGGCACAGAGTTCTCTGAGGTGCAGCCTTTGATTGAGGTTTGTGCTGAGTTGGTTTCATCTGGTTCCCCCGAATGCAGGGATGAATTTTTGCCACCATTTAGTGCAGACCAGGTAGAGTCCCTGGTGTGGTTATTAGAGGATGATGTGGGTTACTTTCTGGAGCGTTATTCCACATGTTCACCACAGACACTAAGAGATTGTATAAACGCAGTGCAGTCATTGACCAGACAGGCTTTGTGTAAGCTCAGCTTTGTTCAACCCATACTGCAGACATGGACAGACTTGCTGCACCCAGCCTCAGTCAGCTTACAAAAACCCAGTCCTGCTTCTAACTCTACTCCTGTATTCCCACCAGCTCCTCCAGTTACAGCCCAGTATACTTGGCTATCTACCGCATGTCAGTCCCCTGTTCCCACTCGCTGCACCTATCCTGCCTTTAACCCTGTAAAAAAGCCCTCTGTAGCAACTGCTCCCTCTCCTGTTCCATCCTCCAGTTTTTCTCTGTCTCCAGCTGCTCCATTCGTTTGCAGACCTGCGTTTACTTGCAGTGCTCCAGTAGTTAAAACCAGAAAAAAGCGAAAATTCTTTCCAACCAATACCATCCTGCCAGTATCCAAACCGGTGAACCTGCCTTCCGTGACTCAGCCGGAAGCCTCTACTCAGCCGGAAGCCTCTACTCAGCCTGATGCCTCTACTCAGCCTGATGCCTCTCCTCAGCCTGATGCCTCTCCTCAGCCTGAAGCCTCTCTTCAGCCGGATGCCTCTCTTCAGCCGGATGCCTCTCTTCAGCCGGATGCCTCTCTTCAGCCGGATGCCTCTACTCAGCCTGAAGCCTCTACTCAGCCTGAAGCCTCTACTCAGCCTGAAGCCTCTACTCAGCATGATGAACTGATCCAGCCCGACGATCCTATTAGGCCAGTTGACTCGATGCCCGCTGTTGATCCAGATGATCCGGTACCTGATCCAGTGCCCGCTGTCGTGCCAATTGACTCAGAGCCCGCTGTCATACCTGGTGACCCGGTGCCCACTGCCTTGCCAGATGACGCGGTGCCCGCTGGCAAGCCAAATGACCTGATGCCTGGTGACCCAGTGCCCGCTGTCATACCTGGTGACCCGATGCCCGCTGTCGAGCCAGACAATCCGATACCTGATGACCCGGTGCCCACTGTCGTGCCTGTTGACTCGGAGCCCACTGTCTTGCCAGACGACTCGTTGCCCGCTGTTCCGCCAGTCGACTCGGTGCCCGCAGTCTTGCCAGACGACTCGGTGCCCGCAGTCTTGCCAGACGACTCGGTGCCCGCAGTCTTGCCAGACGACTCGGTGCCCGCAGTCTTGCCAGACGACTCGGTGCCCGCAGTCTTGCCAGACGACTCGATGCCCGCTGTTCCGCCAGTTGACTCGATGCCCGCTGTTCCGCCAGTTGACTCGATGCCCGCTGTTCCGCCAGTTGACTCGGTGCCCGCAGTCTTGCCAGATGACTCGGTGCCCGCAGTCTTGCCAGACGACTCGGTGCCCGCAGTCTTGCCAGACGACTCGGTGCCCGCTGTTCCGCCAGTTGACTCGATGCCCGCAGTCTTGCCAGACGACTCGGTGCCCTCAGTCTTGCCAGACGACTCGGTGCCCGCAGTCTTGCCAGACGACTCGGTGCCCGCAGTCTTGCCAGACGACTCGGTGCCCGCTGTTCCGCCAGTTGACTCGGTGCCCGCAGTCTTGCCAGACGACTCGGTGCCCGCAGTCTTGCCAGACGAATCGGTGCCCGCAGTCTTGCCAGACGACTCGGTGCCCGCAGTCTTGCCAGACGACTCGGTGCCCGCAGTCTTGCCAGACGACTCGGTGCCCGCTGTTCCGCCAGTTGACTCGATGCCCGCAGTCTTGCCAGACGACTCGGTGCCCGCAGTTCCGCCAGTTGACTCGATGCCTGCTGTTCCGCCAGTTGACTCGGTGCCCGCAGTCTTGCCAGACGACTCGGTGCCCACTGTCGTGCCTGGTGACTCGGTGCCCGCCGCTTCGCCTGGGGGCCCGAGACCTGTTGCTCCGCCTGGGGCCCGAGACCTGTCGCTCCATCTGGGGGTCTGGCGCCCGCTGCTCCGCCTGAGGGCCCGAGACCTGTCGCTCCATCTGGGGGTCCGGCGCCCGCTGCTCCGCCTGAGGGCCCGAGACCTGTCGCTCCATCTGGGGGTCTGGCGCCCGCCGCTCCGCCTGGGGGCCCGAGACCTGTCGCTCCACCTGGGGGGTCCGGCGCCCGCCGCTCCGCCTGAGGGCCCGAGACCTGTCGCTCCGCCTGGGGGCCCGAGACCTGTCGCTCCATCTGGGGGTCCGGCGCCCGCCGCTCCGCCTGAGGGCCCGAGACCTGTCGCCCCGCCTGGGGGCCCGATGCCTGTCGCCCCGCCTGGGGGCCCGATGCCTGTCGCCCCGCCTGGGGGCCCGATGCCTGTCGCCCCTCCTGGGGGCCCGATGCCTGTCGCCCCTCCTGGGGGCCCGATGCCTGTCGCCCCGCCTGGGGGCCCGATGCCGGTCGCCCCTCCTGGGGGGGCCCGGCGCCCGCCCCGTCCGGGGGCCGGTGCCTGTCGCCCCGCCCGGGGGCCCGGTGCCTGTCGCCCCGCCCGGGGGCCCGGTGCCTGCCGCCCCGCCCGGGGGCCCGGTGCCTGCCGCCCCGCCTGGGGGCCCGGTGTCTGCCGCCCCGCCCGGGGGCCCGGTGCCTGCTGCTCCGCCTGGTGGCCCGCTGCCTGCTGCTTCGCCTGGTAATCCGATGTGCCTCTGCCCGGAGTCCTGCCCGATGTGCCTCTGCCCGGAGTCCTGCCCGATGTGCCTCTGCCCGGAGTCCTGCCCGATGTGCCTCTGCCCGGAGTCCTGCCCGATGTGCCTCTGCCCGGAGTCCTGCCCGATGTGCCTCTGCCCGGAGTCCTGCCCGATGTGCCTCTGCCCGGAGTCCAGCCCGATGTGCCTCTGCCCGGAGTCCAGCCCGATGTGCCTCTGCCCGGAGTCCAGCCCGATGTGCCTCTGCCCGGAGTCCAGCCCGATGTGCCTCTGCCCGGAGTCCTGCCCGATGTGCCTCTGCCCGGTGTGCCTTTGCCCAATGTGCCTCTGCCCGGTGTGCCCCTGCCCGGTGTGCCGCTGCCCGGAGTCCTGCCCGGTGTGCCAGTCTTTGATATCCAGCCAGTTACCAGAGACCCGGACGGTGGAACATTTTGCCCAGCTAGGACTGTTTGGAGCATCCTGAGGCCGCTCCTTGAGGGGGGGGTACTGTCAGGAATGGACTAGCCAGCAATGGTGGGACTCGCCTGCCTTTTGATCTGCAGTACCAGGGCTGGCCAGCGGGTGCTCCCAGCAATCAGAGACTCAACTTTGCAGCCAGCTAACACCTGGAACTGATTATGCTGGGGTATTTAAGGGATGGCCAGACTTGCAGACTCTGCCTTGGTGTTGTGTTCTCTTGGGCCCTGTATCCTGTTCCTGCTCTCTGTTCCTGTCTGATTCTCTGCTGACCCTGCTCTGATCCCTGGCTTGTCTGACCATCCCTCTGCCTGACCCTCTGTACTACGCTGCTTGCTACCTGTTCTGATCCCTGGCTTGTGACCCTGACCATCCCTCCGCCTTACCCTCTGTACTACGCTGCTTGCTACCTGCTGAACCTGGCCTGTGACCCCGACCAATCTCCGCTTGCTCCCCCCGTACCTACCTGCCCTATTGATATTGACCCGGCCTGCCTGACGACGCTTGCTTGTATGTACTGTTATCTGTGGGTGGTTGGTTTGGTTTGGTTTGGTTGCACTGTATTATGTTTTAGTATTGCACTGCGTTTATGTTTGTATTGTTAGTGTTAATAAATTATATTGTTTACAACATATCTGAGGTCTGCGTTTTCCCTGTGTCAGCCACACACCTCTGGTCACACCTGGGAGCCCTGACACTAGAGATGAGCGAATTATTCAAAAATTCGATTCGGCTGATTCGCCGAATTTGTGGAATAAATTCGATTCGATGCGAATTTATTCGCTGCGAATTTAACTTATAAAAAGGGTTTCTAGGCTTCAGAGAGCCTTTATATTAGTGCAGAACACTGTACCTTTAATTTAAATGCCCTTGGAGTCTGCTGGGGAAGAGAAATAATACTGTCAGTCAGTATGACATGCAGATGAGTGCCGTCGATCTTAGAATCACCGCACACTTCACTCATTTGGGCAGTCACGGGGCCAAAACCAGAGTGTGGAGCCACAGTGTGGCGGTGGAGGCAGCAGCAACGGGAGGCCATACAGCACCCTATGACAAAATGGAACCCACCAGCAGTGTGAGGAGACCTGAAAGTGGCACATGGCAGAGTGTGGCGATGGAGACAGCAGCAATGGGGAGGCCGTACAGGGACCCATGACACACTCTGGACCTGGCAGCAGCATGAGGAGGCGGTACAGGGGCCCATGGCAAGAAGAAGAAGAAGAAGAGGATGAGGATGAAGAAAAAAGAAGAAGAAGAAGAAGAAAAAGTAGGATGAGGATGATGAAGAAGAAGAAGAAGAAGTAGGATGAGGATGATGAAGAAGAAGAAGAAGAAGAAGAGTAGGATGAGGATGAAGAAGAAGAAGAAGAAGAAGTAGGATGAGGATGAAGAAGAAGAAGAAGTAGGATGAGGATGAAGAAGAAGAAGAAGAAGAAGTAGGATGAGGAAGAAGAAGAAGTAGGAGAGGATGAAGAAGAAGAAGAAGAAGAAGTAGGATGAGGATGAAGAAGAAGAAGAAGTAGGATGAGGATGAAGAAGAAGAAGAAGGAGAAGAAGTAGGATGAGGATGAAGAAGAAGAAGAAGAAGTAGGATGAGGATGAAGAAGAAGAAGAAGAAGTAGGATGAGGATGAAGAAGAAGAAGAAGAAGAAGAAGAAGTAGGATGAGGATGAAGAAGAAGTAGGATGAGGATGAAGAAGAAGAAGAAGAAGTAGGATGAGGATGAAGAAGAAGTAGGATGAGGATGAAGAAGAAGAAGAAGAAGTAGGATGAGGATGAAGAAGAAGAAGAAGAAGAAGAAGAAGAAGTAGGATGAGGAAGAAGAAGAAGAAGAAGAAGAAGTAGGATGAGGATGAAGAAGAGGAAGAAGAAGAAGTAGGATGAGGATGAAGAAGAAGAAGAAGTAGGATGAGGATGAAGAAGAAGAAGAAGAAGAAGTAGGATGAGGATGAAGAAGAAGAAGAAGAAGAAGTAGGATGAAGATGAAGAAGAAGAAGAAGAAGTAGGATGAGGATGAAGAAGAAGAAGAAGAAGAAGAAGAAGAAGTAGGATGAGGATGAAGAAAGAAGAAGTAGAAGAAGTAGGATGAGGATGAAGAAGAAGAAGAAGTAGAAGAAGTAGGATAGAGGATGAAGAAGAAGAAGAAGAAGTAGGATGAGGATGAAGAAGAAGAAGAAGAAGAAGAAGTAGGATGAGGATGAAGAAGAAGAAGAAGTAGGATGAGGATGAAGAAGAAGAAGAAGAAGAAGTAGGATGAGGATGAAGAAGAAGAAGAAGAAGGATGAGGATGAAGAAGAAGAAGAAGAAGAAGTAGGATGAGGATGAAGAAGAAGAAGAAGAAGTAGGATGAGGATGAAGAAGAATTCCAGTGCAGCAAAAAGTGTATCTGCAGAGAGCTCCGCTATTTCTGACAGTTCTCTGACAGTTCCTTCACATTTACAGCGGTTGAAACATTGTATCTATTTGTTTCCGAATAAAAACATCTGTATCCTAAATGGAAACAAATAGATACAATGTTTCAACTGCTGTAAATGTAAAGGAACTGTCAGAGAACTGTCAGAAATAGCGGAGCTCTCTGCAGGGACACTTTTTGCCGGCTGTAGAAGGGATGAAAATCGGGCCGATCAGGAAAATTCGATTCGTGCATCCGAAGTTTTGCTAATATTCGGATTCGGCGCGAATCGAATTTTTCCTAATATTCGAAACGAATTCCACTTCGCTAGGTTCGATTCGCTCATCTCTACTGACCACTTTCTACCTGAGTGTCTGTGAGAATAGTTCTGTTCCATATTACCAAATATGCACCAGTAATTTAATTTGTGTTTTTTTCAATGTTGCTCTCAAAAATACACGAAAAGAACTCTCCCCACTGTTCAATATTATTATTATTTTTTAATTTTCCATTAGTAAGTGTGCCTTAAAGCTATGTCCAGCTCCTCATGCTTTTTCGGATAATAGCTTGCTAATTGGCCTTAAAATAAACCAAAATAAATGCTGCACTGCCATTCCTGTTCCTTTAGAAACACAGTGAAAAAGGAGTGTGTTGTGAGTTGTGAAGACCTCCCTGTTACCCGGGAGGTGTAAAAATGAACAAAATCCCCAACTGTTTATGACTGTAGTGACTAAACCATAAAAAAAATTAAAATGAAAACTATTCACAATAAACTTGCAATGAATCAAACAATAATAAATAAAACATTTGCGGAGAAATTAATTAGCGTCTATAATAGGCAATACATTGCACCTCCCTCTTACACAACATGCACAAATGTCCATATGCAAAAATCCATATATCTAAACCAATGTGCAGTAGTTTTAATCAGTTCATTCTTTTTAGAGTAGACAGTGTCCCCATGCTACAAGACACCTTTCACATCCTATAAATAATTGGTGACTTAGTGATGAAGCCAGTGCCAATAACGTATAGCTAGTGATCCGTGCTGACACTCGTGCTCCCCCTCCAGAACCGCACTCACCACAAAATATTGACCCCCTACAAATAGTTGGGTCAAAAGACACCTGTTATAGACACTAATTAATTTCACCTCAAATTATATATTTATTATTGATTGGGCTCACCAAACACATATATTAACTGGTGGGGGAGGTGTATCATTGCGTGTTTATTGTGAAAATTTTTCATTTGAATGTTTTATGGTTTATTCAATTGCAGTTGTGAACAGTTGGGGATTTTTTTTTTCATTTTAAACTCCACCTCCTGGTAATAGGGAGGTCTTCACAACACACTCAAAAAAACCCTTTTCAAATGTGTTCTAAAGAAACAGGATTGGCAGCGCTGCATTTTTTTGGTTCATCATCACAATCATCTTTGTTAGGTGCTAGCAGTAGTCTATATATCCTTATATATTATCCTCAGTGCAGGTTCTATTAATTTAATTTAGCCCTAAAAATAGCAAGAATTTACTAACAGAATTCATTGTTCCGTTGACTTCAATAGATTTCCCTGCTAAGCTTTGGTTCACACCGAATTTTAAAAAGAATTAACAACATCCACTTCACCCCTCCTCGATGATTTAAAACCTAGGCATATTTTCTCATCCCTACAACAGACAATTCACAAGGCAGTTACTTTTGAGGTTTTAGATATAAAATGCAGGGATAATGAGAACAGAGTATAAAGTGAGTTTTACACTATGCATAGCGCAGTTATTGTTTTAGCAGATTTTTTTTTAATAAGCATGGATTGAATAATAATTTGATTATTAAAAAACAAACATTGAAAAAAAATTATATATTTCATTGAAATGTGCA